GATGTAGGAGCCCATTAGCAAATGTTCGTTATTATGGCCGCCAACAATGTCGGCGGCATGACTCGCAGTGACAACTTTAATATGCACTCAATAACATGAACATGGCACTTCCAATTCTAGAATCATACACATTAGCGAACGATAGAGAAATATAAGCCTAATGAGCTATAGCAACATATTAAGGGTAACACTGGGAGGGCTCGTGGAGCAACACATTACTCGCTCGAGCTGTGCACACACACTGACGCTGACGCTGCTTGCGCGGGAACCGCTTGACTCTTGAGGGCTCGCTGCGTTCACGGGGTGGTTATTTCGTTGATCTTTGCGATATTTTCCACGCACTTGTGGAGTGAACGCCGGGATGAGTGAAGATTTTAAGAAAGAATAGATGAGGATAGGAAAACTTAGTGCGTTGAATCTGACGAGTGACGAACGACGTCACAGCCATTTAAAAAAAATCTACCCAGACACCCAGGTGTCAGCCAAAAATCCAGATCTGGGAGGCCTGGTACAGCTGAATGAGGGGGGGAACTGGCCCTTAGATCACTTTCATCATAGATCACATTTGCTCACAGTCACACATAGATCATTTTTATCATAGATCACAATCATCACATTTACATATTATATGCTCACATAGATCTCTTTCTTTTTTACTATTTTCTTTATTTTTAAATTCCTGGTAAATTTGCGATTTAAGCAACCAAGTGATCTTAATACTTAATACCTATATCTGTAGTCTGTACTCTGTAGTCTGTACACTACTTTTTCTTACTCTCAGGCTCTCAGCAGTGTATTAGGGCAGCCCTTCTATCTAAATGCCTCTTAAATAACCATGTACCTATGTAATTGAGGCGCCCGAATCCCGATGGCCGCTGGATGGCCCTTGCTCCAATACAAAATAAATAAAATACAAAAAATAGGAGCACGCTTGCTAAAATACAAGCAGGCCGGCAGCACGATTGTCCTTTTTCTTCTTTAATCAAAGTTTATGGGAGCCTCTGCAGACTAGTTCAATGCGGCCCCATGACAGGTCAGTTTAAAAAATTTAAGGAACTTTATTTTCAGCTAGGAATTTAGGTGTTCTGAAGAGTTGTCCCATGTTTCTCAAAGGCTGAATGACTACAGAATGGGGCCACCAAAGTGTTTAGTGGAGACCACACTGGGGTGGAGAGTCCCACGCCAGGGCAGAGGGTCCCACTCCAGGTCCAGGGCAGAGAGTCCCACTCCAGGGCAGAGAGTCCCACTCCAGGGCAGAGAGTCCCACTCCAGGGCAGAGAGTCCCACTCCAGGGCAGATACCGTCACCTGGGGGCACTAACCACTCACCTGGGGGCACTAACCACTCACCTGGGGGCACTAACCACTCACCTGGGGGCACTAACCACTCACCTGGGGGCACCAATTACTCACCGTCACCTGGGGGCACTAACCACTCACCTGGGGGCACTAACCACTGACCTGGGAGGCTGGGGGCACTAACCACTCACCTGGGGGTACCAATTACTCACCATCACCTGGGAGTGGGGGCACTAACCACAAACCCACCAACCCGGGGGTACTAACCACACATGGAGGCATCTTAAAAGCTCTGTAATGAAATTTGGCAGTAGATGTCGGGAGCATTTATAGGTGTTCAGGAGTTACACTTCACTTTAGCTGGTCGTACCATGGCATCCGCAGGCTCAACGCCATCGGAGCGGGCCCGAGCGGGACAGCATGGCATTTTCAAATGTTGAGAAAGATAGTTCTAGAAAGATGACGTAGCAGCCGGCCAAAGCCGGCTACTGTCACGGGAGCTCAGCACAAGGAATATCTTGCCTCAACGGTTAGAAGAACAGACGTCCAGCTATTATAGGAGACTCTAAGGAGAGGGTCACAAGCGGGCCCTCCAATAACGTACTAACGGTGCAAGCGCGCAGCCGCAGTGCCGCATACCCCGCTTTAAATTTGGCTATAAATATCACTCCAAAACTGAACGATCCATGTTGGATTGCTTAGTTTTCAACTTTTCAAGTGACGTTTATATCCAAATTAAAATTTGTTTAGCAAGTATTTCGTGCATGAGAGATACTTTGAAGTTTCACAATGTTAACAGCAACGAAATCCATGTAGAAATGTAATTTTTTAAAATATTTTTAGGCTGAAATAAAGTGAAATTTAGGGTTCAACGGTACTACGGACTTGAAACCGAACTTCGTCCAAACCATCATTTGTTCATTTAGCATTTTAGTGTGTAACTAGCTATCTTTTGTTCGGGAATGTGCCACAGTCCATAAAGAAGCATTGATCGGTTCAAAATGTCATAAGACCATATTCTTTTATCTTACCTATAGAATTAGAATAGAATAGAAGTGTCGGCGTTGAAGAAATAGGCCCATGGCCTGTTGCCGATTCTTGAACTTTTCGTGACTTGATTCACAAGGGATCCGGCCTTTGGAACCTGATCTTTCTATAGCTGACGATTGATTGAGGTAGCTGCTCATGCTGCTGGACTTATTGCCTGATCCGTAATTTGCTAGGCATTTTAAGACTGAACATATGCTCCGGCATAGCTTCGTCTAGTCTGTTTTTGAAGATGTTCATATTCGGAGCTTCAACGATGCTATCAGAAGAAAGGAGATAAAGCAAATCCTGGTAATTATAGGCCAGTCAGTCTCACTAGTATAGTCTGCAAGGTTACGGAGGGAATAGTTAGGCATAAGGTTATGCGGCATTTGAGTGACAACAGTTTATTGACTGGTTGCCAGCATGGCTTTGTGGCAGGAAGATCGTGTACTACCAACTTGCTCACCACCCTTGAGAACTGGACTGAGATATTAGACAGGGGTGCTCCCGTCGCCGTCGATGCAGTATACTTAGATTTTTTGAAGGCTTTTGACTCGGTACCTCACGAGTCACGAGAGATTACTCGTCAAGCTAAAAGCACTTGGTGTGGAAGGTCAGGCGTTAGGATGGATCAGGTCATTTTTGAGCAATAGACGTCAAAGAGTCTGCGTTAATGGCAGTCTATCAGACTGGACGGCTGTAACAAGCGGAGTGCCTCAAGGAAGTGTCTTGGGGCCTGTACTTTTCGTAGTGTTCATTAACGATTTGCCAGATGCCGTAGAATGTTTGTGCTTTAAAAAATCTTGAGTATGAAAGAAGACTTGAGCGGATGAAAATACCGAGTATGACGTACAGAAGAGTGAGAGGTGATATGATCGAGTGTTACAAGTACACGCACAATGTTTATAAATTGGACAAGGACAACAGTATACTAAAACTGGAAAAGAATACAAACACCAGAGGTCACCATTACAAACTGGAGAAGCAGCGTTGCAATACGAGTCTTCGTCAAAGGTTTTTCACCCAGCGTGTGGTGGAGAGGTGGAACAGACTGCCGGCACAGGTGGTGGAGGCTCCCAGCGTCAATGCCTTTAAGAACAGACTGGACAGTGTTATGCGGGACCTTGTCTATAGTGTAGACGAGCTTCCCACCTTTAATAGAGCTGATCAAAGGATCAGCAGTCAGTATGGACCAAGAAACGAGTACCAGGCACAACAGAATCGGCAACAGGCTGTGGAAGCCTAACATCTGATGCCGAGAACACTATGCTATGCTATGCTATCAGGGAGGCTGTTCCACATGTCGGTGACTCGAAGCGAGAAGAAATGTTGTCGCATGGATGTGTTCCAACGCTGTTTTTTCAGTTTATAGCCGTGGCACTATGCAATTGCACTGAATTGCACTATGCAATTTTTTATTACCTATAGAACTGCATCTTGTTGGCATCTAAGTGCTGCTTGTAGGTAGTTGTACGGTAACGGTCGAACCCGTATCACTTGCAGAACTTTAACCAATGGGCCACCAAGCAAGAACACAAAGAAACCATACAACTAATAAAACATATGAACATCTTTAAATTTTTTAGTCCCTCTTGTTGCTTGTTAATTAAGCAAGCCTTGTTTTGATACCTGATAAGCAATTTATAGACTTGAAGCTTGAGATTATTTTACTAGTATTTTAACGCCAATGGTGCGATGTACGAGCATATTTCAATAAAATACCATTTGATGTGCATTTGGTGCCCCCATATTGAAGAAAAGATTCACACGGTCGCTTTTCAATTGAAAAAATCCCATAGGGATACCGCACACGGCGTACAGTAACATCCACGTTGAGAACCACCGAGATAGACAGTTGTGTAATTGTAAACTCTAGGGTACAAAACAGCACCATTTGTCATTTTATCTTTTGTATCATCATATTTGTATTTTTTGTGAAGATCGAATGGACATGTGAAATTAGTTATTGCAGGTTTTCGTTAGCATCTGATGAAAATCATGGCGTTAGTGTTTGAGAAAATTAATTGGCAGGTTTTTCGACAACTTATTTCATTAATCGTAATATTTTTTCCAAAAAGATGAAAAATGTATCATAATAGGAAGAAATTTGATCGCAAGCGCAATAAATTGATGGCTGTGACCAGCAGTAGCACAAATGTTGAAATGCTAGATTTAAACATACACTGCACGGAAAATTAGTAAGTGCTATTAATAGGACAAAATGAACATAACGATTTAGTTAAATTTTTAACAATTTTAGATTTTTTCAGTTGTGATTAATTTACGCCCTGCATCAAATTCTCGAGTAAATGCAAGAAGAGCTGCAATAAAATAGCTTAGTTCTCCCCGAAACATTTGAATTTAATTGAAATATTAATCATAAAAAAAGAGACACACAAGAAAAAGAAGAAAAACAGACACACAACATCAGCAAATTTATTAAAATATTCAAAAGTTATTCAACTTTGTAATTATTATAAGAAGAAATTTCCCATACTCAAAATATTAATCCTTTGCTACCACTCATGGTTATAATACAATAGCTTTGGCATAAAATTTCAGCAGAACTAAAGATGCCCACGGTGCATCTACTATAGATGCCACTGTACATCTATACTTTTAATCAACAACCAGGCTCATCAGTTGTGGGTCAATAATTAATTTAAATTAATCATTACTGCAGTATTATGCAGCATAAGATCTTAGTCGACTTAACGCTATGTACAAGGGATAGGAATGCAATTTTTCCGGCTCTTATAACATTGTACGTTATAAGACTAATTCCCCGAAAAATATTTACAAAAGTACATTGTAAAATCAGCCTAGCGTAAATAGGATGAAAAATAAGCAGAATAACCTTAAATACAATTATGAAAAAACATTATTTATAGCAGAGAAAGCAGCGTGCTGCTGGGATCTAATTCGTACGGGGGCAAATGAACCGTGGGGACTATTGACGTAGAGATACATAGCAAGACAAGAAGATAAATACTATGACGTTTCTTGCAGTCAGCGTCACGACTGTACAGAAGCTGCGTAGTCTGGTAAGGACCCGAAGGTTTTCTTGTAATGTTGAATGTACGTCTCGCAGTGATCACCTGAAAAAAGCTTTGAATACAAAAATTGCGTGGGAAATTCACCAGCGTTAATAATTTTCTTTATTTCAACAGCATTTTTCTGCTAGAATGAGACTCTAAATTTAAAATCACTCTGGGGAAAACCGTCCAGGCTTCCAAAATTCAAGTATCAAACTCAAGCCATTACTCATGAATTTAATTAACTTTTTGATTATCAAAACTTGCTTAAAAAAATGGGATAAATCAGCAGTGCGATAAATATGCATTATAAATTTAAGAAAGAGCCGTAACACATTTTAATACGACTAGAAGTACGGAAGAAATAAGTATTAAAACATACATTTCTTAGCATTTTTATTTCCTTTTTGAGGGGGGAGTAAAGTGGATCATCATTTTTTTAGTGGTGGGGAACTATGTTTTTTGGTTAGGGGAACTATGATTAATCTTTCAAGAGTCTATGAGGCGATTTTAATTAGCATATCGATGCACAACTGGAGCCCTACTCACTCTCAGTAAAAGGCCTGCTGCCACGGAGTCTTGTATTCCTCAGAGCAAAGAGCGTAAACACGGAGTAGAAGATGGCATCGTCGCCTGTGTGCAGAGCAGCTTCGAGGAACTTCCTGCAGGAGAGTTGGTCCTCCAGGCCGTTAGCTCTGGCATAACGCAGGGCGGCGGTCACGAGCTTGTTGGCCAGCAGGACTTCGATGATCTCCTCGTGGGCGGTGCGGAGACGACAAAGCATGTCGAGACTTAGCTGGACGCATGCTGGGTACACCCCACCACGGGACAGCAACACGCATGCCTGGGCAATGTGAAGGTTAGAATACCCAGTCACGGGACAGCAACACGCATGCCTAGGCAATGTGAAGGTTAGAATATCCAGTCACGAGACAGCAATACGCCAGCAGATTCGTCAAACAAATTTATAGCTTTGATATTGTGCGAATCTACGCACTTTTCCAAAAATGAGTGGAGGTACAAACGAACAAAGAGCGTTATGACCAATCTATGAGAGGAAGGAGTTTAATCTTCATTACTTCGATGCTTAACTCTGAAGTTAAAATCCTCATGATACAAGACGCAATTTTAAGGAGAAATAAGTGCATGAGCTCTTCTGCAATATGGTTGAGGCAGCCTAGAGCGTCCGAAGTAAGATGTTATTAAAAATAAAAATTGAAAAGCAAAGAGAATACCAAAAAAAATCACCATATCTGTCATTTCTAAAACCAGGTCATCAAGGCACAAAAATATGTCACACACAAAAAAAACGATGTCATGTCATCACATAAAGATTTTTGTGGCACTTTATTAACTTTTAAATTTCTCGTGAATTTAAAGCAATCGAGAGACATTAATACCAAGGGTTTTGTGTCAGGTACGATGTGGAATTGCAGCAGCTGATGCAGCTGGAAGAAATTGCCGGTGTTAAGGAGGGCGTTCACGATGAGCTGGTGAAGGAAGTCTGGCACTGGCAGACCGGCAGCTGACAGACTTCTTACATAGTCCAGCGTTACCGATACCAGGTAATTGATACCTGCAACACAAGCAATTATCTTCACTGCAAATCATGGCGCTCATAGATTGTATAGGCTTAAGATGATTGTTAGAAGAAGCCTTTTTCATAACAACATAACAATTATATCAGTCATTAACTGCAAACAGAATTGGCTTCCAATTAAAATAAGAATTTCAAGGGTTCTCAAGGTTCTCCTTCAGTAGTCATAAAAATACATGAACCTTACTCTCATCCATAGCTTCTGAAAAAGCATCATTTGATTTTCCATCCTTGACAGCTGAATTTTTCTTTAAGGATTTATCCGGCTCGCTGGCGTCTAGCAAATTTACTGCCTGCATCTTATCAGAAATTTCAGAAGACGAACTCAATTTGACGGCTTCAGAGGGTACCTTCAGTTTTTCGTGTTCCAGAAATGGATTCAGTTTTTCAGATTCAGAAGATGCATCAACTTTTACGACTTCAGAAGATGTATTGATTTTTGCAGCTTGAGAATGCGCATTATGCTTGACGGTAGAGTTCTGGGCGAGTTCCATGAGAGGAGCCAGCACAGACTGGTACATGTCCACTGCCTCGACCACAGCGGCGGGCGTGATGGTGCTCAGCACGTTGCCGCCATTCCTGCTAAAAATAAATAATTAAGATTTTATACAGTGGGGGAAATAAATATTCGTACACTTGAAAAATCGTATTTTAATTTATGTAAGTACACAAACTTAACAGGAAAAGTGATTTAAATTATGTATAGAGACGCATAGTATTCAAAAATACTATCAAAAGAAATTAAATCTCAATGATAGAATTAGTTGTTTTTGGGAACTTGTTAGTTCTTTACCTTTAACCATTTTTGAGACCTTCTTGTACTACGGGCAGTTGCAGAATGATCTGGTAGTTGCAAAATACGTTAACTATGGTTACTGATTACATTACTGGAACGTGCTACATGTTTCTAGTACATTCTGGAATGTTCTGGTGTGAAATATTAGTCAAAAATTGTTTTGTACGAATACTTTTTTGACCCGAAGAAGTTAACATGTTGCATTAATTTTTGTTGCATTGAGATTTAATTTCTATTGATGCTATTTTTGAATACAATGCGCCTCTATACAAAATATAAATCACTTTTCCTGTTAAGTTTGTGTACTTACATACCTACATTAAAATACGATTCTTCAAGTGTACGAATATTTATTTCCCCCCACTGTATAGGAATAATGTATGTAGGAGTTTTCGTTGGGAAGTTGCAGAGGTAGAGGTCACTACAGGAATGTTTTCAGGCATCTTGATTCTAGGCAATAATCGTATCTAATTTAAAAGTTCTTCCACAGATTTGTTGTGGTAAAATTTTGCACTAAAAATGGTGGTACATCTTTGAAGGTAGCTGATATCCATATAGCACTTCTATAACAGATTTATGCTCCATTTGAGTTAACATACACTGCCGTGCATGTATAATCGACAAAGAAAACACCGAAGCGGTGCTAATTTTTTAGCTCTTCCTACCGCTAATCACCTTGGCATCAGAAGTGGGCTGGTGGAAGGCATTAAATTGCTGCCCACGCCCCCCAGAACGATGCCCATGGGTCCTGTCGCCCCACACTGAGCTTGGGCACACAGGGCATCCAAGTGGCGTCTGTAGCCAGCGTTGAGGACGTCAAAGCAAGGGCCGAGAATGTGTAGGGCGCGACGTTCTGTCACGCGTCTTATGGTCTGCAGCAGCAGCGGTTTGGCTGATGCGTGGATAGGAGAAAAGTGTGATAAACGAATAGTTTAATATTATTAGAACACGAGAAAAGTAAAATTAACCATTAGCTAATATGATAAATGAGGAGAAAACTATGATAAAAATCAATTTTAATATTAATAAAAGTTGAGAAGTGCAACAGTAGAAGTGGTTTTGCTGATGCACGAATAGGAGAAATTCAACCTCAATTTAATATGAAAGAGCTTGATAAATGTAGCGGAAGACGTGGTTTAACTTGCGAATGAACTGGAAGGAGTTTAATCCGTATAATAGGGTAGGAATCGAGTAATTGAACGGACGCAGTAGATTGGCTGATGCAGGAACAGGAAGGAGCTAAGATAAACGATGGGTCTACAATAATAGAACTTGAGAAATGTAGGAGCATAAGTGGTTTCAGCATATCAGGACAAACGGTAGAGAGAGCAGTTTACTTATTGCACACACAATAAGTCATTAAGTAGAAGAAATGTGAAAAAAAACAAAATCACACACCGAGGAAAAATATTCAGACGAACCTAAAATTGCAAAAAATTTTCAGTGAAGGGTAGGAAAAATTAAGAATATCTTGGAAATCTTTAGGACTAGGGGCCAAGACTAAACTGATACACTGATATTTCAAAAGTAAACTGATCTATTGTTTTCACTAAAGTTTAAGACTAAAGCATCTATTGTGTGCTATTACAGGTCAATTTATTGTTTGTTATTAGGTTTAAGACTAAAACATCATTTGTAAGCCATTAAGGCCCTTTTCCACTATGAGACTCTGCGGGGCTGACGCCTGAAAAACTGGCTTTTTCAGGCCAGACTGAAGCAGTCCGGCCCACAAAGACTGGCTCATCGGCGAATGAAGCACTGTTCAATCTTTAACTACCGAGTGAGCCACTCATAGCGGCAGTGTCGCTGTGACTTCCGTCCCAGCAGGTTGTGTATTGCTGTCGCTCTAATATAGGCACTGATATATCGCGCGAGGCGGAGCTGTAGTCCAGATGGAACTAAGTCTCGATCCAAGCACATGCGCGTAGTGGAAACGCGCACGCCAGTTTTGAGGCCCAGTCATGTGGATTATTGATCTCAATTCTTCAGAGTTAGTCAAGTGGTGGAAAAAGGCTTCTACGTGCAGTTACCATGCCGCCTGTTGAGCAGGCAGCTGATGAGCTGCAGGCTGTCAGAGAAGGTCGCAGCGAAGGCTGGCAGGTCGAGCTGCAGGTTCCAGAGGCAGCCTAGACGAGCGTCGATGATGACGGACGGCTGCAAATAAGATGTCATCAATTGATGTAAGATTTATCGATTGATATTGATAATGAAATTTACAACATCAATAAGCTGAAATTAATAATCAATTCCCCCATGGCTACAGGATCAGACTCAGAGAAATGGGTGAGACGTCGTCCAAATAGCGATGTATTTTGTCATTTTTGGACAAAAGGACTCATCCCTTTTTCTGAGTGTATTATCAAATCCTCATGGATCTGGGATCCTAATGAAGTACCTGGAACACGACCCAAGTGGGGGCGTAGAGCTGGCACGGTATTTGCGTGACCAGAGCGGACCCGTCGGTTGTGCTGGTCCGACGTCCTGATGCTGCTGCAGGATGACGAATACTTGCATTAACTCTTACCGAGGAAGGTGGACAATTTCACTTACCAGTAAGAAAAACTGATAAGAACATGCCCCGTGGTCGCTTTTTTTTTGTCAAGTAAATCAAACTTGGACCAAAGCACATATTTTAGTAGAAAACTTGTCATGAACAACAAGCGTTATCCTAAGGGCAACATTCATTATCCTAAGGGCAACATTCATTATCCTAAGGGCAACAAGCATTGTCCTAAGGGCAACAAGCATTGTCCTAAGGGCAACAAGCATCAAGTGATACCAACCCTAAGGGTTGGTATCACATAGGAAGAAAGATATCGCTACATAAACAATTAATCTAATCAGAAATTAACTTTTACCAGCCGAGGATCACTAAACAATTAATTAACCTAATAAATGATAAATCTTTACCGCCACGGATCACTTTATAATTATCTAACCTAGTTGTCCACCGATCGCTACATAAGTAACAACCTTAATCGTGGCTAAATCTCTACCGGCCACAGATCGCTTTATAATTACCCAGCATAATCCACTGCAGATTACTGTATAATTAACAAACGTAATCATAGCTAAATCTGTACCGGCGGCTCCAGGAGTGCGCGGCGCGGTTTGGTCGGCATGTGCTGAAGGCACGCCCGAGGTGACGGAAGGCTCCTCGAGACAGAAGGGCCTTATGGGCGCGGGACGCGTGGCGGGGTACACGAGGCAAACATCTTGACGCATCTCTGTTCCTAGGGCCACGTCGAACACTAGTGATACCTGCAGGGACAGAGATCAGCGGTAAGAGAGGGGGGGCTGAGATCAGAGATAAGTGAGGGGGGACGGAGACTAGTGATACCTGCAAGGGCAGAGATCAGCGGTAAGAGGGGGGGGGGCAGAGATCAGAGTTACCTGGTAGGAGGGGACTCTGAATTACGCGATCTAGATATATATTTTAGAGGCCTGATGATGAACGATGATGAGGCTGCTATCATCTCACTTTAGAGGCCTGATGATGGACGATGATGAGGCTGCTATCATCTCACTTTAGAGGCCTGATGATGGACGATGATGAGGCTATCGATGACGTTGACAGCAAATCGCCCCGTTAGCTCCAACTGGCAGATGTGCGTCAGCTTGAAGCCACTGCTGTCCCTGTAAATTATCCGAACATTATTAGCCTGGTAATTGTAAATGCTTCATTTTTAGTAATTCTGAAACTTCTTAATAAACATTACCGAGAAGGTTCAAGTGAGAACAGCTAGAAATTGAATAAATCAAACAAAGAGATATTATATGATTGTTAAGGTACATGGGGAAAGTTTTAGCCGATACTACAGGCGGCAAATAAATTCCCCTTTTTGTTTTACCGGCCAAGAGCATATACATGCGAAAATAATTAGCCAAACAACATTTGCAAGCGTTAATACTTCATTAGAAGTCGTCAGGTGAAGTCTGCCATTGGTGGGAGAATATGGAACATAACAGTAATGACGAGTTAGAGAGGTTTTTGATAAATCAGTTGGTGAAATTGTAGCAACTTCAGCTGAGGCGATAAAAGTTTAGTCTATCAACGCAGTGTGTATGGGAGAAAGTAGGATGGAGAGATAACTTGGACCATTATCAACTTTCGTAAACTCACGGTGCGGCACAGATGTACACACCACGGATGTTGCAGCCCAGCTTTCCAGTGCAAAGCTCACAATCTTCTGACAGCAAGTACTAGCATTATGTTACTTTCCATCGAAGAAATAATTAGCGTAATATTTTAAATAGAAAGAACTTGCTGCTTATTCTATCGACTAAAACTTTCTCCATGTACAAGGTGATTCACAGAAACTTCCTGTTTTGTTTTTCGCGCCAGACAGCCAGATGTTGTAGGGAAAATGCGGGGAGCATTTCATACGAAGGTTAAGGTTATGAAGTTTTGTCCCGCCTAGCCAGTTGCCACTATGCCTTGGAAAACAGAGCAGCGTGCGTCTGCTTTCAAGGCATACTTTTCTACTGGCTGTTCCATTATCGCTACTCAATGAGCATTGTGTACTCGGTTCCGTATTCGTCCCTCAGGTTGTGTTCTTGATGGGAAATTGCTTGTTACGTGGGTGAAGACAATTGGGACAAGTGTGTCAATGCAAGAGGGTCTGAAGGTCAGCAGATTGCCACAACACCCAAAAACGTAGAGAGTTAGATAGGCGTACCTGCGTTCTCATCACCGTTCAGCACGTAAACACGCCGCTATTCTGAAGATTTCGAATAGCTGTGTCAAATTGTCTGTGACACAAGAACTCAGCGAAAATTAATTTAATTTCATTGCTCGCCAAAATGCATGCGAAGCGCTAATAGAAAACATGCCACACGAAGCTTCTTCTTTTGCCGGGTCATCTTAGATCAATTGCTTACAATGTCTGTCCAAAGACCCTACTTCATTTGAAGAACAACATACGCCAAGCCATCGCCAACATACCCGTCAATATGCTTTAGCAAGTTGAACGGAATTTCAAAAATCCATAATGAGGGCTGTCATTTGTCCAATGTCATCTTTAAAACGAAGTGATACAAAAATTCAGGTGTCTCTTCAATAAAATTTATATTGTAATGATCTCTTCACTAGTTCTCTTCTATTGAGTTTCAAAACATGAAGTTTCCGTGAATCACACTGTACAAGAAAATTAGGTATGCTAAATTCATCTTTATTCACATGACATGACTATTAAGTGATGATTATTATTATACGCAGTGGCAGCAGACACTACAGTGCTGATGCGTGCTGACTTTTGCGACGGCCTATTCCATGATACACTTTTGGAGCCAGAAACTGCAGTTGCATTGCTGTCAGCGGACCACAAATCGGAAATGCGTGACTGCGCTTTTCTTTTCTCTTCACTGTGTCGCTTAGCTAACTTGGTGAAGGAAACACGGTTTTAGACGAAATCGTTCCTGTTTGTCTCAGTTACTGGAGCTTCACCACCAAATCCTGGCCAAGCTGGAGGAGGGGGCCGGGGTGAACGTGGGTGGTGTATTTGGACTTCGTGAAAGCGTTTGACAAAGTTGACCATGGAGTGCTCTTCAGAAAATTAACACTGCTGGGGGTCGGAGGTGATTTGTTGGCATGGATCCACAGCTTCCTAATAGAAAGACTACAAGCTGTAGTTGTTGGAGGCTCGAGATCGAGCAAGGCTAGGGTGAAGAGTGGAGTACCACAGGGAACAGTACTCGGCCCAATCCTCTTCCTCATTCACATCGCCGACATAGATGTGGCAGTGAACCACGCCTCTGCATCGTCATTCGCGGACGACACCAGGATATTAATGACCATCACGGACAGGACGGACAGTGAGAGGTTGCAAGAAGACCTTTCTGCAAAATATGACTGGACCCAAGTGAACAACATGCAGTTCAACGGGACCAAGTTTTCGATTCTGAGACACAGAGGTAGCGGAAGAGCTGGTATGGAGCACCGCTACCTGTCACCTGAAAACTCGGAAATTGGGACGAAGCGACTCGTTCGTGATCTAGGAGTGTTGCTGAACAATCGGGTCAATGTTGGTGATCACGTAACGGCAATAACCGCAAGAGGTAGGCGACAGATGGGGTGGATCTGGCGGACGTTCAGAACAAGAGAAGCGGAACCAATGATCACAATTTTAGAGCCCTTGTAATACCAATTCTTGAATACTGCTGCCAGCTCTGGACCCAGTTCACACTCGGCGCAGTGAGGCAACTGGAAGGTGTCCAGCGAACCTTCATTTCCAGGATCAGAGGTATGCAAGAGTTGAACTACTTAGAGAGGTTGTTGTTGTTGTTGTTGTGGTTCCCCGGTCTCAATTTTACAAGAGACCCCCCTCGCGCAAGTACGACACCACCGACAGGGGGTCGCTCCAGAGCTGTAGGGTCGAGGTTATGTGGTGGTGTTGTCTGAGGTCCTGCCAGAGCGGACATTCCAGGAGAATGTGAGTGATTGTGTGGGGAGCTCTCTGGCAGGATGGGCAGGTGTCTGTG